AAAAATTGCTGGTGCAACTTTAAATTGACTTTAATTTATCAGAAAGCATTTTAGAAGTATATTTCAAGAGTTATTGAAAAGTTTTGCACTTTTGTTTCCAGAAATACCATTATTTGGGTCCAGAAAAAGGAATTGTCCTTTAGGAAAAAGTCCAATAGAAGGAAAAGTATGAATTGTGAGAAAATGAACTCAAATCCTAAATGGGAATAATGCAAGTATTAAAAAATAATAAAATGATTAAGTAAAAAAACTCCAGGTGATATGTATTTTGAGCTTCTACTTCAGCACAAAGCATTCACAAAGGCAACCTGAATGAAGGTCTTCTGTTTCAGGACTACCACTAAGTGCAATTTACCATATGAATTTTCTGAGCAATCTACTCCTACCTCAAGGTTATGACAGCATCCTGGTCTTGTGGTATAATTACCATTCTATCTCATCATTTCACAAAAATGAAAACTACAAAAGTTACAATGCAAAAGAGAAATTAAAATGCCACATTGAAAAGAAAAAGACGGCACTCACAAAGGCTCTAGGAAATGGCAGTACATCTACTTAATATGCAAGCACATGGATAAAAATTCAGATTATGGTATGGATTAACTAATAAAGAAGAATTTTTACTTTTCATTCATAGTGTATTGTACCAGTAACCCTATTTGCATTATTAAAACATGTTTTAAACTTAGGATGTGACCATGGTTGGTAAAAGATAAACCTTAACTGTGACTGTTGCATCTTCTTAGTGGATTATGCACATAATTATCTGCAAGGGATAATTTTATGTCATTTTATAATAGAATGTACATGACCAGTTTCAACTCAACACTGACATCTTGTTATTAGCTATAAAATTTTCATAACCTTGACAAAATTACCCTTTATAATATATTTACAAATAGAAGCCTAATAAATGGATTTTATAATATATGTTCAGGTAAGCCAGTGCAGGAATATATAATAACAAAAACCCTTACCACTGGTCTCCTTTCTGATCTATGATGAGTAATACAATGGTCCAGCAAACTGTCTTCATCCAATTCTCTCTGACAAAATGGACAGAGGCACCTGGAAATTGTACAGAACATTAATAGTTCTAAAACTGTCAGTATTGAACTACAAATAAAAAAGAGAAGGAAGGTAAGTTTCTAGCTCTATATGAGAATTTTAAAAAATCCGAATCCTATAGTATCTTCTACAAAGCAAATCTTTCTATCTTAAATGTAAATATTAATCTAGCTTATAATATTGATTAATCAACAACCCTTCTCATTCTGTAATTTTAATTCTTTATTATTTAATTCTGACAGAATAATTTAAATTAAATTTAAATTAGCTTTCATATATTTTTAAGTTTTCATAGAATCTATCAACTTTGAATCAAACCCATATACTTTCTTAAGCTATTTGCTATGTTACCTTCCTAATGGTCCTTGAGGTAAATCTAGCAAAGTCTAAACTCATATATTTAATCTATTCAACTTAAAACTAAAACACTCATTTAAAATTTATGTTATAGTATGAAACTAATTCTATAGTAACACCTATGTTTAAGAACAATTTCTAGTAAAACAAAAAAAAAGAGGCACATTTAGGCTTTCAGGTTAGAACATATAAACTATTTTGAGTGCATTTTCTAATAAATAAACAGAACTAGCATTTCCTTTAAGAGAAATCATACTTCTGAGATTACCACTATTGAATAACTAAATTTGTTTAAAAGAGATTTAATTGCTTCAAAGCCATCAGTCTATTCAGGAGAATAGAACTGATATCCTTAATTCTTTACCTGAGAGACCCCAAACTTTGTTATCAGAGTAGTAATGATTCTTTTCTTTCTTTTTTTTAAATTATTTTTTAAAATTTATTTTTACATCATTCCTTATTTTGTGCCATTTTCCATCTCAGTTGTAATCCCCGTGGATTTCCATGTGCCATCACCATAGTGCTGTGTACCTTTCCCACCCCATTTTGACCCCATTTCCCAATCCACCCCCGTAAAATGTCTTTGGTATATAGTTGTTCGTTGTATTTTTGTTTTTCTTTATTACAATTGTCCCCTCTTTCACGCCCCAGTCCCTTAAGCTCCTGCTATCAGTGAAACCATTTGTTATTTCTCTTTTTCTTTCTGGTTTATTCCACTAAGCATGATTCCTTCCAGCTCCATCCATGTTGCTGCAAAAGACATGAGTTTATCTTTTTTTGATCACTAAGTAATATTCCATTGTGCATATGTACCACATCTTTTTAATCCCGTCATCTACTTTTGGGCATTTGTTTTCCTTATTGTAAATAGAGCAACAATAAACATGGAGGTGCAGGTGTACTTTGGAATCAATGTTTTTGTGTCTTTTGGGCAGATACCTAGGAGTGGGGTTGCTGGGTCATATGGAAGCTCCATTTTTAGCAGTTTGAGAAACCTCTAAACAACTTTCC